ATTTTAAAAATCTTCCCGGATTCTCAGAATTTCTGGCAAGGCTGCTTTTTTTATCATTGCTTGCGAATTTTGTCCAATTTGACTTACTTTCTTCTGTTCTGCAGCAGTGCAGTATTTAAATATATTCATACCATGTGAAAAGATTTGTTCCCATTACTTGGAATAAGAATTTATTTCAAAACATTTTTATTTGCAACGACGCATTGTATTGCTGGCTAACAATGTAATGCATTTCCGTTTTTATTTTCCTCCCAATCTTGGTACTCTGTTTATATTTAAACTCCTAACTGAAGATAATAATTGAAGATAACAATGTGAAAGCGATGTAAAATTTTGAGGTTTCGATGTCCTTTTAGTTCCATTGTAATGTTTTGACTGTTCAAATACTCTTAGTAATGCTTGTCTAATATCCAGTGAGAGAACCACAACTCATGCAACCCTGTTACTCTTTGGAATTTTTTTTAAAAAAAAAAAAGAGATTTATTTCAAAACAAAGTTTCTAAAGAATAAAACGTTTCTAAATTTTAATATTAATTTAATTCAAATTTGTGATGCATAGTTTTATATACCTCTCCTAATGTGTCTGCATTTAATATAAGGCAGTGAAGTAATATTAAAAACATTTTTTTACCGTTCAATTTCAATGTATATACTTATTTTCTTTTTTTACAGAATATGTAAATGCTTTCGACCTGTGAATTGAGTAAAAAATTAAATCAGTCCTTCACACGGAAAGGTTAAAAATTAGGGCTTACCTTATAACATTTTTTGGACTATTTTGTTACATTCGTTAGCTTACACTTCTATGACATTCATTATCTACGAGGCTTGTCAAATTTCGTCAGTCCGTAAAATATAAACTCTTTAATTTATACTGCACATTGACTATTCTCAATATTCTTTATTCACGTAGCGTAAGATCATTTAATTACCTTTTAAATTAGACCTCTGTTTAATAGAAATAACCGTACTGTACAATAATCTATTTAATTCTCTATTTTATTTTTAATGATATACCTTACTGATATATTTTATAATGCATTTCTGTTTGTGCGCATAATTTATTACACACCCAACAAATAGTTTTATTAAAATTTGCACCAGTATTATAAAAAATAAAAAACGAGTCTAAAGCCTTTAATTACGTGTATTCATACAGAATTATCGTTTGAGAGCCAACTAACAACGAAATTTCCGAAGTGCTTGCAGTATTATTATAAATGATATTATAAATGTATTATTACAAACATCTATGCCGTCCCCAGGATTCGAACTCGGGCTCCTCAGTACGGCAGTCAGCGTCGCTAACCAGTATACCGGTTGGGGGACTGTAGTAATTGATGACAATACTTGATGACAATAATTGATGAGGAATTAAAACACAATTTCTTCTCCAGTATTACACAGGACAGTTCCAAAGACAGGTTTGCAATCGTCGAAAAACTACGACAGACAGAATTTATGAATAAATTCTCTGTCACATATAAAAATTTTGTAGGACACATAATTTTGAATCTATAGCAGAATTCAAACTGAAATTAATACACTGGATGACTCCCCTTGTTTTTGTCATAGACTAAACTTACACTTTTGAATTATTTCACGCAAGGAATTCGTAAAGCATTTTTAACCTTACATGCCATTTTAAATTCTAAAAATTAATAATAAAATTATTCATCTGGGACACGGAAATGTTCTTACTCTTTCAGAGACTTATCAGGCTTTCAATGCGAAAACACAACAAATCAAAGATGACCTCGTCGGAATTCGTACACCGGATCTTTTACTTGCTTTCTGGACGTGTTAACTGCTTATACTACAACAAGCAGAGGAATTCGATTATGCCATAAATATTTTCTTCCCTTAAGGACCGACTTAACAGGAGGTAAGACACTTAGTTTACCAACTTTAGGCGGCGATGATTTAACATCTACCCCATTTTAATTCCGGTGTAGATCAGACACTTACTAAGTTTTCCGAAACTGAGAACTAAAAAAAATGAATATACCCTTGCCAGAATTATACCCACGATTCATGCTCTGGACAACTAGCTATATATAGGATTTATAAATCCTAATAACATCCCATACGCTGTCTATGGGACATAGATAGGATGTTCTTAGGATATAATGGGATGTGTTTAGGATGTTAGTGGGATGTTCTGAGGATGCTGTAAGTAGGAGTTCATATCATAATAACATCCCGTACGCTGTCGATGGGACTTAGTTAGGATGTCCTGAGGATATGCTGGTATGTGACATTAAGCACTCGGGAGGAGGTATTTAGGAGGTTCGCCGGATATTCCGGGATGCCCTGAGGATGTGCGCATATCCCGCGAGCAACATCCTCGGGATATACCAAGGATGTTTTTGTGCTATGTGGAATGTGATAACCATTTAACCACGAGACCATGCACGAAGTAATAAGCTAATTTCTTGTAGAATTGCTGTTGTAAGTGTAAGCCAGAAAGCTGTTGTAAGTGTAACCTTAAAGTCCTGCAGACCCTACTAGACGAACAGTATATTATCAATACGCCTTAAATAACTTACAAGATGCTGAAGAAGGTTTAAATATTATTTTTTTGGTCTTAAAATGGACTTAAAAGGCACAGATGTCACAGATGAAACTTCTACTATTAGTGGATATTTAAATTAATACAACCAGTAAAATCAAAACGATGATAATGTACTCTAAGACCGCACAGTAATTGGACTAAAATAAGGCTCAGAATATCTTTCCGAAAGCAAAGGACATCGGCTAGGGAGATGCTAAAACCGAAATATAATAAGCAGAGCTGGAGGTAGTAATTAAGCAGAGTTGACGAAAATACTAACAAGAAGATGCGGTTGTTAGATGCTCTAATCTTATTCAAACCTCTCAGCTTAAATACACACAAAAAAATTATTTGCGTTCTAGGGAAGAATATAGAAAGGAGAAGTTATAGTAAAGATTTAAATCATAATTCACTAGTTAATTAATATAAGATACCTTACATCCTTATTTCCTGTCGTTGTGAACATGAAAACTAAGCCAAAAATTAAACTTTCATTATAAAATTAAATTTGCAATGATTTCTGAATAGGAGGATGTAGGTTCAGTAAAAAATTAGAAATAAAAGCATTAAAAATCAAACAAAGTAGGCAACACCCAATACAAGTATGTGATCGATCAAAATTTTACGAAAAATAAATCACTACAATATTCGAATAAAGATATTTTTAGTTTTTATTAAAGCCGAAAATTGAACTTTAGCTTCACAGAGAACCGGTAATAACTATATGACGATTCAAAATAATAAAATATGAATAATAACAACTTAATATTAGAATTTTAATTTAGTTTAATTATTTTCTTTTTTAAATTTATTTATTATCATAAATAAACCTTGGCCTCCCCGGGATTTTTCAACTGCGCTAAATGTTGCAACACTAACATTGCAAAAGAACACTCGGAAGGAATGTAATAATTTTCCACAAAATTTTCCTAAACATAATTTATTAATTAGTTCTATTAAGTATCTTCTTGCACAATTTTTAAACAGGTATCTCTATATATATTTTGCTTTCTTAGATCTATTAATACATTTTTCATAAATATGTTGACATATTAGTTTTTATGATAGCTGATGTTCGATCGGGTGTACTCCAACTGCGCAAATGAGAATTCGCCCCACCTCCTAGATGACACTTTCAAAATATAAAAACATTGCAAAGTGAAAATATAGATGGCGCCACTGCAATTATAAATCTTGCTTTCCATTTTAAAATAGAGACATTGAGATTAGTTTTTGCTCTTTGATTTTAATAAATCGATTTGATGATTTTTACCTTTATTTCTTTCAAAATATTTTGTAGCATATTTATCAGAAAATAAAGCAATATCTTACTTAAAAATAAGTATTTCGTTTCCCTATTTTGTAGTTATATATGCATTCATTTCACATCTGGCAATTTTATGAATGGCAAATGGAATTTTAATGAAAGTAGTCTTCCTGCTAGGAAAATGTATTACTGTAATATTTTAGTAGTATTTTTAAATCTCTGATTAAAAATTTAACACTGAGAGTCTGCGAGAAATAAAGTAAAATTTATTTCTTACCTTTTAACTGATTTTTGATATTTGGAAGGAATATTTAAATAAAAATGATTTTTAATTAACCGCTAAAGCTCAAAAGGTATCATAGCTATTCAAGTATTTTATTATCCCAGCTAAAAAATGACTGTCATTGTCAAATAATCATTCATCGGGTAATTCAATTCTAAATCTGGTTGTAATTTATACAAATATTTGTTGCTATATGTATATAATTTTATGCGTGTTTTTGTTCTGATAAACATTTCTTTTCATTTATTCACTGAATTTAGTGCATTTTGTATGATTATTTTATGTTTGAATTACAATAACTTTATTTAATTTTACATTTTTTACCACTTATTGTACTTGTGTATGTTTAATTTATATATTAATTTTAAATCGAATGATTGTGGAAAGGTGAGAATAGCTCAAATACAACAGGAGATAGGAACCTCAATACTGGATCTTGGGGCAAAGTGTTTGTTCTCCAGAAGCCGACATTTTAGTAGGTGAAAGAGCATTTTGTAACCATGGAAATGATTTTTCTGGAAGGTTCCAGCAGTTACCCTGCCTTCAAGTAAAGGTAAAAATATGAGGCTGCAGCGTAGCCTGAAATAAGTTTAAAGCCAGTTTACGTAGTTCAGCTGTGGTAGTACTGAGTATACTTCTCGGTTGTTATAGTTTCAGACTTGAGTGTTAATGAAGCTGCGGATTTATCTCTATAATCCCCTTGCGTTATTTACAGCTATTTACCTTGCAAGATTTATTATTCCTCTAAAGTAGAATAAAGTTCTAATTTTTCCTGTTCAACTGCAACAGTTACTTAAACTGATTTATTTGAACCCGCAGTACGCAGCAACATCATTTGAGAATACAAAAATTTCATTCTACACGAGAAAGAATCATGCAATAAATTTTATATAATGTCTAGTGCTATACATGTTACAAAGTTACATAGGTGCAGACGAGAAGATGTATGTATATATAATGATGGGTTTTTGATTCCTTTATATTTTCAAAACTGAAATATTTATGTGATGCTAACTGTCGTATACACCCTGACACTTTTTTCCATTAACAAAGCATTGCTTGAAGATCTTATTCGCTTCTCATCACATAATTTCGTACATGTCTTATTGGCATTCCGTTCCTTTTTGCTTTCTTCTTCGAAGTTTTGTTTAGGCCATTTTTCCCCTGTGAATAAAAGTAATACGTAATGATAAAAGGACTTCAATAGCGTAATATTAATAATATCATAAACTTTAAGACAAAATTTTAGAGCTTAAATAACGGAACTAAGTAGATTCTTCAGGAAATGATGCATTATATAAGTCGGATGTGAGGTAATTTAAATAAAAATTTTATATTCACTACTGTAGAGATAAATAGTGTTAGGAATACTATCAGATTTCGGTATGTAATACGTTTCAGAACATGGAATGTTTACTTATGGTTAACATATCAATTTCAAAAGCTGTAGCTAAATGTTACTAATAACTCAAAATTTCTTTTAATTAGGTTCAAAAATTATTGAACTAATAGCCATTTTGATATCTCAAAATGGCTATTAGTTTCAAAACGGATTTTGTGGCGTTTCACTATAATGGCGAACCACTTTTTAAATTGTTGCCACCAAATATTATCGATGTGTATCATATTAAAAGAAATTAAATAAAAAAGAATCTGCATGTATATGTGTATGTTTCTCGTACTGTGAGAAAACGGTACCTAGAGCCATCAGATTCTGAATAACGTAATCCTCCACCCAAACATGGGCACCTGTACGCCTGAAATTTGAATTTCCAATTTGTGTTATTATCTATTTCCTATTTTTTAATGAAATTTTGATTGCAGGGAACATTTTCCTTTGAAAGGACACGAAGCGAAAATAATCGCGTGGTGACAAATCAGAAGAACACTTGCGATTGGTAATTGCATATACTTATTTTCAGCACAAAGCGTTTCTGCAAAATGGTTTTGACCCATAAGAAGGTGCATTGCAGTGCAATATAAATGTTTTCGACAGAATAAAGTAAGATAAAAAATTGTATGCTAATTTCTCAGCCATTTAATTCGCTACCCAGTCAAACATTTGAAATTGCAGCATTGTTTTGGCGTTCTTATCTTGCGGATAAACTTGCGGATGTCCCTTAATCTAAACATCTAAACACCCGTTTAATCTTTGCAGGACGAATAATACAGAGAGGTAATGATCCCTGCTTTAACTTAGACTCCAAGAACATCAAGTGAATGTAATAAGAGTAAATGAAACTCAGTTTTCATCTGCACTAGGGCTTGATAGTTCAAAAACTAGCGCATTGTGCGTTACCATATTTAAATAACCGACCATCCAGATTTATGCACGATTTCTTAAAGCAAATTTCTGAAGTAAGAAAAACCAGAAAAGCTCCGAGTACCTTTTAAACTGATATAAAATTAGCAGGTATGTCCAGAGAGATAAAACATTTTAAATTATTTTACGAGAAGAATTTTAGTAAATTCTAGAAATAATAATGCCAAAATAAATGTAACATCATTTATTACTAATTATTAGAATTTCATGTCTTCACAAAACGCAATTTGACTTTTAAAAATGCATTTATTCTAAATCTTATGTTTACATTAAAACCTATTTTCCTTTGGGAAAAAAAGGCTAGCGTATGATAATCATAGCGGCTTATTAAAATGTACACAGCAGTTTATTTCAGAAATTTATTATACAGTCCATGCCATGAAATATCTTTAGACACAAACGTCTTCAAAATCATATTTATTTTTTGGCTGCTACAGGCAGAAGTGGAGATAAAAATCTTTCATTCTAGTAAATTTTGCCGCTGTTAAAACATTTAAGCAGAAGACGTAATATTTTTGACTTATTGTTTGAGGCACTCAGAAGTATACATATGTGATGCAGAATTTCGAAATCTGCAAAAACTTTCATTGCGTATAAAATGAAGTTAGTAAAATAGTAGACAATAAAATGATAAATATAAAAATTTACTCTTATGAAAGAAAACAAGATCTTTAAAATCATTTGATTAACATTCTCCATAAATTTGATAAAACATTTCCTATATTATTATATTTACAATGAATGTTTATTAGATATACATATGTGATGCAGAATTTCGAAATCTGCAAAAACTTTCATTGCGTATAAAATGAAGTTAGTAAAATAGTAGACAATAAAATGATAAATATAAAAATTTACTCTTATGAAAGAAAACAAGATCTTTAAAATCATTTGATTAACATTCTCCATAAATTTGATAAAACATTTCCTATATTATTATATTTACAATGAATGTTTATTAGACACTATTAAAAAAGGGAATAAAAAAATTCAAATCAGTGATCCTCTGTAAAGGTCCATTTGGAAATTTAAGGTTCAAAATAGCTCCTGCGTTTTATTGAAAATTGTAAGAAGATGCGTAAACCACATTTGGCATTATTACGCTTACAAAATGACAAATATACTAAATATGTCAAATTTCAAAATGGTGCAATGTATAATTCACGTATATCATCAGAAATTTTTATTTATAAACTAATTTGTTTTCAGCATACCTAGAACTATATATACTTTAAGATGATTGTAAAAGTTTTATAGATTAGAATTAAAATTTTTTTCCCCGGAAGAAGTTACATAAATTATTTTAAAGTAAATTAGAAAAATGGTATTGATTTCACTTAAATTATATATATCGAATAATACTAAATATCGAATTATGAAAGAAGAAATTAAGAAAGTTTAATTTAAAACCCTATATTATTAAATATATGCTAAATTCAATTAAAATGTCCGTGTTAAAATTTTGACAATAATTTAAAAAAGGAAATAATCCTGCAATTTTGTAAAACTTAGCAGCTTGGCGTAGTTGAAAACTGAAATATGAAAAAAAATTGGCATCTTATTTCAGGAGAAGTGATAAGGTGAGTGAATTAAAATCAAAACTAAATTTTCAGCAGACTTTCTTCCTCATAGCAAATAAAGTATCTGAAAATAGTGTTCGTGTTAATTACATGATAGCAGAAAAAATTGTTTAGCCTGGAAAATCTCTTGCTTATGGAGAATTTTCAAAAGAATGTCTTCAGAATGCAGTTGATGTACTTTGCCCATTACAGGCTCAAGTCATATCGAATATTAGCTTGCCTGGTGTGACAGTAGCTAGGCACATAGAGGATATCGCAACAGATATATTCAGTAAATTAAAATCCAAAGGCAAACAGTTTGACTTTTATTCTGTAGCGATGGATGAATCAACAGATGCAACAGATGCCGCCCAAGCAGCCATTTTTATAAGTGGCGTTGATAGAGACAATTGTAGAGGAATTAGCCAGTGTCGTTGAACTTAAAGGTACAACACGAGGTAGAGATTTGTATTCGAGTTTGACACAAACTTTGGATAAATGTGAGTTAAACTAAAGATAAATGTGAGTAATACGAGTAATAATACGAGTAATAATCGTATATCTCCTATAACCACGGATGGAGCTAAATCAATGACTGGAGAGAAAATAGGAGTAACAACATTATTCCAATCTGATGTGAAGACAAGTGGAAATAATACTATGATGACTTTCCACTGCATCATACACCAAGAAAATTTGTGCAAGAATTCCTCTCAAACTTTGAACATGTGATGAATGTTGTTGTAAAAGTGGTTAATTTCATTCGGTCTAAAGGACTTAATCGCAGGCAATTTCAATAAATCTTGAGTGATTTGGAACCTGAATATGGTCATGTTGTGTATTACGCGGAAGTACGTTTGTTGAGCCGAGGAAAGATGCTTCAGTGCCTGTTTTCTTTCAAAAGCGAAGTTCAACAATTTATGGAATCTAAAGGGAAATCTATTCACGAGCTCAGTGATGAGAAATGTTTGAGAGACTTTGCATTTCTTGCCGATATTAATGAAATCATTGAGATGACCATTTCAATGATTTGAACTGCCGCTTATTGGGAAAAGATTTACTGGTTCATAATTTTTTATTATTTTGTGAAAGCTTTCGAGAGAAAACTAATCTTGGGGGAAAGTCAGTTGCTAAATAAAAATTCCACTCACTTTCTAAAATTGATGGGGTGTGTGAAGGTCATTTCTACAACATGAAATTCAAATAATTATGTACAATGCATTCGAAATTTGAAAGAGGAATTCAAACGCAGATTTTTCCGATTTTCTCGAAAATAAAATTTTTATCAAAATGTTCTCCTCGCCATTTTCAGTAGACGTTGGAAGTGCTCCACCTGATCTTCAACACACAGTGAACAGTGTGACTACAGTAAAATGCAAGTTTCTTGATAATCCTACATGAATTTATTTTTATTCAAAATATATGACCGAAAACAAGTATCCGGGAATTCGTAAACATAGACACTTCTATCTTTGGAAGTACCTACATATTTGAACAGCATTTTAGTAAAATGAAAATCCTAAACTCATAAACAAGAACTGAATTTATCTGAAAGTAGGAACTAAGTGACTTTTTTTCCGCTTGTTGCAACTCAACTTTGCTGAGATCCGATGGCTGAGTGACGTCATCTCGAACTATGAACTCTCTCGCTTAGAGATCACGGGAACTCGGAACTGAGAAGTCGGACGCTGCGACGTGCGAACATTTAAATCTTTTCATTATGTAAATATCCTGTAACCGTTTGCGTCTTCATTAAATATGTTTGTGTTAAGAAATTTTATCATTTATGGATTATCCCTTTCAAGATTTTGCAGATGCACAGCACAGAGGAACTTCAGCCCATTGGCCTTGGCCGAACCCATTGGAACAAGGTAAACAATTTTGTTTTGCCTTGATTAATTAGTTAGAAGATAAGGATATAAATTAATAATATTGTGGCGCCATAACGTGAGGCCATTGGGTTGAATTTGAACTGAAATTTAATAGATTTTGCTTATAGCAAAAACATGGATTTAGAAAAATTAAAAAAGAAACGATCTGCTATAAGAGCAGTAGTTACGAGGCTAATAAATAAGATAGAAACATAAATTGCTAATAAGGAGGATAAAAATGTAATTGAAGAAACGGTTGCTCAGTTAATTAGTAAAGAAGAAGAACTAATCTTAGCGGATAATGGTATTGAAACTTTAATTGATGTAGCAAATTTAGAAGATGAGATAATGTCTAGAGAAGAGTATAAAAGTAAAATTATTATTTGGAAACTACGCGCGAAAAGATATTTA